ACACACAGACTGTGAGGTCTCGGCACCCTTGGGAGACTGCAAGCTTCACACCAATATCAAACATCTAAACTGCTCTTCAGTAAGTGATTTCAGCTTGAATTTCTGTCACTTTCGCTTCACGTTGCTGCATGGACAATGTGACTCACTGTCTATTTCGCATAGTTGCAAGCAATCCTACCGATTGCTGAAAACTATATCTGATCGCTCAGCCGAGAAATTGTTTCATCGAAACTGAAATCTCCAGCGCTCTTGGGCAAAATGTGGTGGCACTTGTCATGCTCCACAGTCCCGGGTTTCCGTAACCGCAGTCGTTCTTTCGATGTATCACTAAGATTTGCTAGCTCCATCCTGAAACTACTTTCATAACGCCCGAACTATGTATCAACAATTAGCCCGGGGTCTGGATCAAAAGCGCACTCATTGACACTGTTGCTTATTTCATCGGCTGAAGGCTTCTCAACACTTCGGACGGCCGCTAGTGTTGGAGTGAGTCTCGATCATATATATATATATATATATATATATATATATATATATATATATAGCCTGAATAGCCTGTCCGCAAGGCAGTGGAGCGAATTCAGGGAATCGCGCCCATTGGGAGCCGGTGACTGATTGCTCAGTCCATACGCCTTTCGTTTGTTCCTTTGTCAAACAGGGACTCAATGCTCCCCAGAACTACAGTATAACGTTGCTGGAATACAATGCTTCGCCAGGATGAAGCAAGCGGCAGTGACTTTATTTAGTGGCGAGTCACGTCCGCCACGTCAGTGTTGTTAAACGGACATATGTGGCTTTTTATAGGGAGAACGCTTGCCAGGCGAAAACCCACCACCCACATCCTCGATCATTTGCAGCTGTGGGACTTAGAATTCCTGCTACTGCTGTGGCAAAATTGGTTTCAGGTCTCCTACTGAAATCGATATCTTACTTAAATTTGCCTCCGTCGCCAAAACCTGTTGTTTTCGATACAGCTATTTTGGCGTCCATCATTTGAGAAAAGCCACTGGCAAAACCATTATTGTGCGTCCGACAAACAGTATACGCAGCTAAAAGATGAAATCAAAACAAAAGTTCACCAGATAAGGACACCTGAAGGTTCCCAGGTTCCAACACGTACTAGATGCCTGAAAATTCGCTTGTTGAGTGTTCATTGAGTGCAGTCCTTGGCGGACTTCAAAATAGATCATTTGCCCTGGTAGACTCCAAGGTGCAACACTCATTGGCTAGCTAATCAGCTTTAGGCTGCGTCTGGCCAATCTTCGCCGGGCTGATAGCGAGATGATCAGCTCCGAGGGCTGTTATGGGCGAGTTCCGTTGACACCAACGGTCACTTCAGCGGACTTTTATTGGCCGGCAGTTATCGTGCGGCGCTACAGTACACCTTTCACCGTGGTAAATCCTGGGTGAACACGCTTACTAGACCTACATAGGATGGTGCCCTATTCATAGGCGGTTCCATAGTGGACTCGCTTTGCGAGTCGAATTCCGTCATTAACGCCGCACCTTTCGTTACGCATAATGCCTACTATTCTTTTCTAGACAATAATCTGAGTACCATCATCTGACGAACAGACAATTTGTCAACCTTTGCTTCACTCGGATATAATGGCGATTATGCATCCATATTTTGCAGGTGCCTTTCCTGCCACATGCATTTCGTACTGCAAAAATTATGATTCACCAGATATATCGCAGACAACACCCAATCGTTGCGCTGACAATGCTGTAGCACTTCTCCAACGCGCCTCAGCTTTTTTCCGTCAGTGTATTACACTTTTTTCCGGCCTAGTCCACATCTACGTCCGTCGGGACGTTGACTTATCTCATTATTTTAGCATTCCATCTCATACTACTCGTCTGCATTTTGTGTGCACTTGTTTTCTCGTTTCAGTTACGCTTGTCCATGCGTTTCGCCTTCACCTGTTCCTCTGTGGTACCGAACCTAATCGTGTTATAACTTTCAGCTCGCTGCAGTTGCTTCGCGCCTGGCTCGGTGCAGTACACACCACCGTTACGCAGACATCGCTCAATTCTTGTCGCTGCTTGGATCTACACCCCCTCTGCGTCATCATTATGTATACAATATGCTATTTCCCATCATAATTAGTTTTCCTATCAGTTCATCTACTTCATATGCATTTGAGACCTACGGCTCGTCGAGACTACGGCAGCTTCTTATCGGTTTGATGATAGACTACTGCTAAGATGGACCTCCTGCGACGGTACCTTGCATCCAACTCCGATGCGCAGGAGACAGATGCCTGTGACATTGTATGGCTCGCTTCCACTCATAATGTTCTTCAGGTTGATAAGTTGGTTGACCGTTTCCAGTCGGCAATTCGCACAGAAGACCGCCGCGATTCACTTAGGACGCTCAAAGCTTTGTCAAAGGTAATGTATGCCGGATTTGTCTTGACCAGGTGCAGAAGTATCGTTTAGAAGTTGGAACAAAAGCAATGCCTTTGTTCATTGAGTCACTCAGAAACGATCGGTAATGAAGTATCTTTAATTGACCTTCGGACATTCAGAGAAGATACAGATTCAGTCTGTTATTCATTGGAATCACTTTACTCCGTCATGAATGATGATGATGATAATGAACAAGGTAATGATCATTACTCAGCCATTTTTCGCAGATTCTCATGAGCTCTTAAACGTGCCAACTGATTTGGGCTGCCAATTAACTGAAATTTTTATCAAAAAACCGGAAAATGTAACCTTGGTTATGGGGTTCGTTGATGTACGTTAGATTTCTTAAACACGTTATGTTTTTTTTCTACCGCCGCTGCATTCTAACACTTTTCTTCCCCTTCCTTTTTCCTGTACTGCGTCATCATCATCATCCACAACAGCAGTGCATCAGGCATTTGGACTGGTGCTTCGCTGCCGTACCACCACAATGACCTACAGAACGAAGAATAGTAAGAGAGGAAGATATGGGACCTGCCGCAAAACTAATGCCTTAAGCAAACATTCACTAACATGCCGTCACAAATAGCTGGCTATCGTGCAAAGATAAGGCGGCATCGACGAGGCTGGTTTCTTGTGGCGTTCACGGCCTCGCGTCAAAAGCAGTCATTACCCCGCAGAGAACTCAGTAGCCCGATTACGAGACGACAACTGACGCCTCACTGGTGTCGGTTGCGAACCATGTCCTGTAACGTCTCGAACCAAGCACAAGGCGGGTCATGTGGACTCCACTCTGGAAGGCGAGATGAATCAAAAGCTCCAAGTTTTGTACTAATTTACTTCATTTCTCTCTGTCAAGTTAACTTTTGCCCTCCTTGAGCCGCCGTGAGTTTGACAAACAGAACAAAGCTCTCCTCAGTAAGCGGTAAACAGTCAAACGTAGTACGTGCCCTGTTATGTTTCTGCTGACACTACGGATAACTGATACAGTCACTCAAGTCACGATTCAGTCACTTCCCCAACTCAGAAGACAAACGCCCCTGGCGAAAATTCTATTGAGCGTCCGGAAAACAGTATGTATAACTAAAATTTGGGGTCAAAAAATTCTTCACGAGAGAATGACCCAATTGAAAGTTCCTGTACTCTAGCAACCACTAACTACACAAAAACTCACTTGCTGCCTGTGCGGTTACTGGAGGGTTTCGAGGTAGATCATTCACACTGGTCCACTACAGGGCAAAACGACTCCATTGACTTACTCTCACTGGCTTGCCAGTCACCCTCAGGCGACATGCGACCAATCTTCTCCGGACTGCTTTGCAAAGAGTTGGCTTCAGGGGCTTCTATGGGCGGGCTCCCTTAACACTTCCCCCGCAAAAACTGACGTACCACTTCCTCCTGGAGTTCAGCTGTATCCCAACAACGGATCTGCACATCCGATCGGTCCATCCTCGTTTCTGCAACTTCGTTCCCTCAGTGGTCCTTGGACAGGGCTCATTGGGTCGCTCCTGAGCTCTAGGATGTATCTCGATATTGTCCAACAGAATATCCAGTGGCAGCAATCATTCACTGGTGCTTAACTGAACGCTGCTTGGCCATAGCTGGTTTGCATGTCTGGTCCAAATCATGACACCCACTCGAACTTTATACAACACTTGTCCAAGCCCGCAATCGATCGAGCCCATGATCCCCTGTGGTTATCTAGAACGATATTATCTGACTAAATCACACTGTCCTGGGTGAAACAGACATACTTGCTTTCTGTGTCCCTGATAGAAGTAGTTTTTCATTCTCGATTCGGAAATAGCAAAGCATTCAGAGTACGGAGTTTTCTATCAATCAATGCTTCTGTTGGGAACAGCTGATTTGGTACCTGAGGGTTCGGAGTTGATCTGTACAGTAGGAGGAAAATATCTAATATCTCTTGGGTACTTCCCTCCTCATCTTCAGCAGCATCTGTTTAAGCGTCTCAGCAAAGCGCTTCGATTGCCCATTGGACAGGTTGGAACGGCGGCGAGTGGAGGTGTGTGATACCGTTCTGCGCACAGTATTCGACAAACTGCAAGATGGCGAATTGAGGACCATTATCAATAACTAGGGTCTTTAAATACTCCCCTCTGGGCGAAAAGTTTTTTCAGTATGCTAATTGTTGCGCCACATGTACGTTCTATGCAGCATACTTCAGGCCACTATCTGAAGGAGTCATCATTGCTAAGCTACTGTTGTCCATTCACAAGGCCAAAGAAATCCACTTATACTCGCTCCCACGGTTTCGTTGACAACGGCCAGGAAGACAGTTTCGCTTTCCTGGGCGCCTTGCTGACCAGTGCACATTTCCAACACGATTTTGTCAGCTACTTCGGCTCCGAGTCGAAATTTGTCCAGTAAACGTAACTTCGCGCCATCATTTTCATTCTGATAATGCCAGGGTGTCCACAATGAAACTGCTTCAGGATTCTTTGGCTAAGTTCCCTAAGGATAGCAACTCTCCAGAAGTAAACATTCGTTAACGATTGCTACTTCGTCTTTCCTCCGGGAAATATTTTGCAATTCCCCACCTAGCTTGTCCTTCGGCCATTGTGTAGTATGGAATTTGACCGCTTGTTGTAAAACGGGAGCTGGCATTGATGTTTCACGTACCATCTCAAAAGCTACCGGAAGCTCTCTGAACCTTTCCAACAATACCTGCTTCATTCCCGACTCAAGAGAAGTCGCCGCATTGATGGATTCCTATTGCTGACGCCACTGGTTTTCCAATAGTCTGGAAAGCGCATCAGCTTGACCAATATCCTTTGTGCAAATGTGCCTCACCGCAAAATCGTAGCCGAGGAAGGTAGTAGCCAACCGCTGCAACCTGTTTGCCGTATAGACAGATATGCCCGACTTTGAACAGAAAGTTGCCAAGAGCGGCTTCTGTCAGTAAGAAGTGTAAACTTCCTTCCATACAGCATCTTGTGAAATTTCTTTATACTGAGAACTATCGCCAAAGCTTCCTCTATCTGGCCGTAATTTCGCTCTGCGGGAGACAGCGATCTAAATGCATGTGCAATTGTGCATTTTCGGCCACCAAAATCTCCAAAGTAGGGTTGCAATGTGTCAGTAGAATGTCGGAACATACCAGCCTTTTCACCTCTACATGATTTTTGGCATTCTTTGGACCAATCCCAGCGTTTATCCTTGATCAGTAGATCATTGAGTGGACCACGCAATCGATGCATGTGCGGTAGGAACGGATTGTAATGGATTATGAGTCCTAAGAAGGACCATAGCATTGCAACATCCTTTGGCGGGGAAATCTTGACTACTTCAATATTCGCTTGGTCTGGACGCCTGCCGTTCCTGTCGATTATAAAGTCGAGAAGCGTAATCGAGTCTATAAAGAAGATACACTTTTCAGTTTGGAGTGTGTATACATATCCCTCAACACGGCCAGGAAATTGTTCCAACTTTTCGAATTAGTCATCAGCACTGCTCCCGACAACAATGATGTCGCCCGGGTATGCGGATGATCCATCGACTTCTGTCAACATTGTGTCCATGATCTGCTGGTATGTTGCTGGTGCAAACTTGACTCCGAACGGGAAACCGTGGTACTGGTACAAGCACCGGTCCGTATTGATGGTGAGTAATTCTCGTGAAACTTCATGTATCCCGGTCTGCAGGCATGCATCGGAGAGAACCAGCTTTTCGAAACAGTTACCTCCATTCAATTTTGCAAACAAATCATCTGGAAGTGTTCTGATGAGCGTTCAATACAGCGTTTAGACCCACCGAGTAATCGGCGCATGTTCGAATCTGACCGTTTGACTTTTTGACCACAAAAATGGATGCCGCTCAAGAGGAGTAGTTCACCGGATGGTTAACCCCTGCTCTCTGTAAGCGATCCAGCTCCTGGTCAAACAGGGCATCTCGTTTGAAACACTGGAACAGAATCAGACTTAAGGGACAATGAAGCATGTGTTTTAGTGCACTTGCCGAGGCCTTCCCGAAAGACTGCTGCATATTTCTCTCGTAGGCGCTCGACGGATCCAGTTTTAGGGGCTTTTGACTTGTGTATCTGGGCACTGGCGCAAATTTGGTTGCTCGGAACAGCAAGCAGGTTGAAAAGCTTGGTCCATTCCAGACCCAGAAGATTCAAATTCTGGTGGCTCGTGACGAAAATCGTTCCCCATGCGGTAAAGTTAGCATAGCGACACTCCCAGTCGACTTGACCAAACGATTTCAACTCGACACGTGATGCACTTTCGCCTACTGACTTGTTGGTTTGATAACTGGCAACCCAACAATCCTCCACAGTCTTTCTGATATAACCATGTCGATTTGCAAGCGCGCCTGTCTTCCATTCATGTTGATGTTAATGTACCTTTTACGATCAGTTCAGTTCAGTTCTGTAGATCAACTATGATCCGAGCACCGAAGTGTGGCGGATCCAGTTGCCACGACTCACATCGCAAGAATAACAATAAATAACTGTCAAGGTACTGGGGTTACACACAAATAGAATGTAGAGAAAATGAAAGCAAGAAGCAAATGCGTTAGACTAATCGGAATGGAACGAAAATTAACAACCAGATGAAAGAAGCCGAATGCATGAATGTCACTAACTTCGTGACTGCGCCATGTCTGACACGGTCTACAAACATTGGTGTAAACCGTCACGAGGCCCGCATTCAGGCACGCACCAGCCTGACCAAGTCTCTCAGTCAATTTCTTCAAGCTTCTATGCCATGTCATGGACTGGCCACCTCGCGGTTTCGCCCAACTTGGTGCAGCCACGGCGTATAATGCACGCCGAGGAAGCCGATCAACGGGCATACGGAGGACATGGCCTAGCCAACGCAAGCGACTAAGATTTAGCAAACACTCGAGAGGCACCAGAAGGCTTCTTGCCAAAAACCAACTGGCGGACCTCAGCATTGCTCACCCGGTGTTCCCACCAAACGTGAGCAATACTCCGCAAGCACCGGTGGTCAAACACGGCCAAGCGTTTAATGTCTTCACTGCGAACTGGCCATGTCTCTGATCCATACAGTAACACTGGCCTTATCGCAGCGTTATACACCCTACCTTTCACTGACAGGCTGATATCCCGCCGTCTCCATAGATGGTTGAGCTTCTGGAAAGCCACACGGGCCTTGCTGATACGCGAAGTAACTTCCTCAGTGATGTGACCACCAGAGGTGACACAGCTACCAAGGTAAGTGAACCGATCCACCACTTCCAGTGGCTGTTCGGTGATAGCTAGAACCGGAGGTGTGTCGGTCCAGTCCTGCAACAGCACTTTGCACTTTGAAGGTGCAAAGCACATGCCGAAGCGTGCAGCGCTACGCA